TGGGCCATTCTGTGGCAAGACCATTAAACACTTGTCTAATGACTAGGCATTTGTTTTGAAGGTTTCTCTTTTCTTTTAATTGTTTGAACTGTTGAGAGTTTAAAATGTTGAGATACTGACAAATTAAAGTTTAATTTTCTAGTTTTAGTATATCTCTGTTGCCGATCGTCTTTTCGCTAAAAATATAAAATATAAAATCCCCTACTCACCAATATTTTAGAAGTTTGAGTCATGTAAAACAATTTATTAATTTTAAGTGGCCTAATGTGAACACAGAACAAATCAGGTACAGTTAATTTTCTAAATGTGCACCGTAATGGATATTTATTTTATTTTTAATTACTTGAGAGAATATTTATCTTGATTTACTTTTAAGTAAATTTTAGTTTTCTATTAGTAGGTCGCAGTAGTATTGACAGACTGTCTTAGTCTTATTTCGTTCAGTAAACCACTGTTTAATAAAGGAAAAAAAAGAAGCAATTCATCTTTTGTTGCTTTTACACCCACTGTACTGAAAATTCACTGAACTGTGACTTCAAAACTAAGGTACGTACCGAACCATGATTTTTGTGAGCCATTAAAGTCCTAGTACATAGTACATATATAAATGTAAGGAAGCCTAATTCCTAATGTCCATGGTCCACTGGTCTCTGTCAAGTGTCAAGTCAGACTACTTTTAATTTAAGCAGATAATTGTTTGTTTTCGCAGTTTCCCCAACTAAGATAAGCTGTGTTGCAGAAGCACGATGGAATGACGAAGTATCTGCTATAATACACTAGGGCTGGATGACACTAGAAAAATGTCACTTATAGTGATGTGATTTTGTTGCAATAAATATGGGGATATTTATAAAAGGAGTTCCAATAAATAAATTTTTCACAAACCCATCTAGGACTGAGTAAACAAGGAAGAAAATTGTTATAATTGTCCTTCAGAATGGTTAGGACTATTTGTTTCAATCACAGTGCTCATTATGTTATGTATTGTGTTTATTGTTCATCTTGTTACACACTGTTCAGTGCACAATCATTTACGAATCACACTTTTAATGCTATACATTACCCATTATTTAAGTTATCTTGTTTGTGTGGTTCTCAGAGCAAACGCCTAGTCAAATTCTTTGAAAGTGTGACCTTAACTTGGCCTATTGAAAACTGAATCTGATGAGCCATCTGAACCAAATTCAGCACCAAAAAATAAATATACCTCAAGCAGGCCCTCCTTGATTCACACGACACCACGTTCTGCGGATGAGTAGACATCATGACTCCGCCTACTTACTTGTCTGTCATGAGCCGGGACCAATGTCCACTCCTGAAGAATGTGCTCACCGAAAAACACTCTGGCTCGCAAGTAGTAGACGGCTGCGGAGAACATAGAAAGAGGGATTAAAGACAACCCTGCCGGCTGATGCCAAATACTGGCAGGCTGTGCAAAAAAACAAAACAAATGGGGCCGTTTACAGTTTCTGCAGATAAATGAGAGGGTCTCGGCACAGTCCTTCCTGGAGCCCAGTTTCTGGATCTGCGAGACAATGTCAGGCTCCCCTGCCTTTTGCAGCCAATGGACAGCCTCTTCAAGAGAGCACACTCCCTATGGCACAGAACAGAGAGAGAACTAAGTCAGATGGATACAACTTGGAATGTTTCACATGAAGTGGATACATGATTGACATGTAGGGGGAAAAAAACGCATTACTACCTCTAATTTTATAAAATGATACCAAATTGCACCGTTTTGTTTTTTTAACACAAACATTATGAAACAATGCACTCACCATATCAAACTTGGTACCCAGTACAATCAACCATATTGTTGAGTCTTCAGACAACTAAAATAAGAGGAAAAAGGCAGAGAAAATCAGTGTAAGAACTCCGTGTGTCATTTAATGAATGGTCATTATATGGAGTAACCTCCATAGCAACAATATGCTGCATCTAGTTGATCGTGTCTAATGGTGACTGAAATAGCTAAAATACTTACGCATCCCAGTGATACAGCCATTAGAATGGATTCCAGGATTTCTAACCTATATATACCTTTCAAATTCAAGTAATTGTTGTCACTGGGAAAATGATGAAAGAAAAAGTCAGCATCATGTGGGCCAGCCAAAGTATTCAGATAACATCGTAAAGCCAGACTAAATGTGCATTACTCTCACCTGAGGGCCAGAGAGTGCATCAGTTCCCCCCATGGCGTCAAACCCTTGATCTTCCACAATGGATGTAGAATGTCAGACCAGAAGACATGTAGGTTGGCCAAGTAGAGGGTTTCTCTCTTCTGACTGACAGGAATGTCATGCCATCGTTTCGCAATCTCCTCCACCTTACACCCTTTTTTACACAAGACATTATTTTGAGAAAGCAAGGTCTTGCACAAGGGCCCAATCACTCTGCTGACCAATAATTTGAATCAGCAACCATCTGATCACATGCACAGTATCCTAACCCGTTGAGCCAACACACCCACAAAAGGAGAAGTTTTTCCATAATCTACATTTAAATCAGGGTGGCTCCTCTATATTATACCAGTCTCCCTCAAGACACACCAACAGCACACAAAACTGCCCAGGTGAGACATTAAGGGCTGAGTGATTGAGATACACTCAAAGGTGGGGTGAAGGTGAAGGGACTGACAACACGCACAATTTAATAAACAGAGATAAAAATGTATTACGTTTGTTACCTGACATCAAAGGATCAAAGGAATACTGCCCCATAAACGCCATTTATGTCCTGGGAACCAGAGAAAGATCAAACAAAGTCAAAATGTGTAAAAATACAACAGAACATTATTCTATGGCATACAATACATTTTAGTTATCATACTACGTAATGTACAAAACTACTGATCCGGGGAAACTGGAACCCGACTTGACTAGAACAAGCTTCATGGAGTATGTTTTGGCATACTACGGCACAAACTAATAGTAATTTTTATCTCGCTTATACAGCGTGGTTAATGTGTCGGGACCTGCATAGATTCAGATCCCAAAATGAGACTTAAAAAAAGCCCGAGTAATTTACGATACAGTTGAATGATGTCAGAGATCAGGTGAACAGCCTTTAAAAATAAATATTTCGGTAATACACAAACGTACAATGGCCAATGCCAGCAACGGTATTAGAAACACATTAAGCGGTAAAAATTGTGGAATAACATCTGCCCCTGTTTATGCTGAAGCATGCAGTATATGAAAACTTTAAACTGTTCCCTGTTCGTACTGACTTCAGCCTTCATTTGAATGTGAAGTTCAACGTTTAACGAACTTCTACGTTTTTCTTCCATTGCCTTGTTCAACCAGAACCGGATTCCCCAGAATTCCTAAACGAATTACGTAATGGCGTTTTGGCTCCAACATTTCACATCTAGACAGGCAAGTGCTTTTTTACCTCGAATATAAAGTGTCGTCAGCTCCTACCCATTAGCTAAATTCACCGCTATTTAGATTTAGATAACCAAAAGCTAAGCCTCCGTATCAAACCGTAAATTCTGTTATTTCAGTGGCAACAGTAAATTAAAATGTGACACTTCGCCAAAGTGAGTCTCCACCTTTCAGCCTACCAGAAAAATGGAAAACAAACCACACTACAAGCTTATTTAAATTTCTAATTATGGACGAGACGTAACAGATATCCCAAATCATAAAGCTAACTCTTAACGTGCAAATTGTCATACCACAAAACAGTACAAGTTTGGATAAACAACCGTCACTTCACATGTTCGCTTTTCCTCCGTGCAATAGCATGGCTCCGGAAACAGGAAGTGAAGTGGGTCACATGATTGTGGAACGTTCTGTTTGAGCCGGGACACGGGCGAATCCCAGGACTCGAGCCTGTCATTTGTATGACGTAGCCAGTGTACTTTCCGGAAGTATGAGAGCGATCCATGTGTGACCGTAGTTTTTTTTATTATTTTTTTTTTTGACGATTTCTTTAGAAATGTGCATTAAGTATTTTGTGATGTTATTTCGTTGAACGTGATTAGTTTTCATTACGGATCTCATCGCCGACTTTACATCACATGTCCATTTCCTCAGTAAAAATGGCTTTCCAGTACACCTGCGCCGTTCCCGCTGGGTTTTAGGTAATTTGAGTTTTGCTGCATCATTTAACAAACAAACGCTAGACTGAGGTAAGCTGACGCTTTCCGGAATTATCTTTATTTTTAACCAGCTATCACAGGTGGGTGGGACGTAATTGCCTCTGAAACCCTGTACGCGATGAGAGCCCTACGTTAGTCTCCCGCATTTATTTTGCTATGCATACACATATTCGGATAGTATTCATTACCATTCAGCAGATCTGATACGGGTGGAATGTACACTGCAGAAAATGACACATATATAACTTGAGTTAGACACGGCGCTATAATTTTCAGAAACATTCCCTGGTTTCAGGTTTAGTGAGCCAAACGATTACATTACTCCACTTGAGTACAAAATATAATGACAGTTTCACCCGTGTACAGTACCGAATTGTTACAAATTCACTGGACATTTTCACTCAAAAGTACAGTTCCGGGTCCGTTACCCGGATGCAAACCAACAACTTCCAGTCATGGGTTCTTAACCAGTGTGCTGTCTTCTGCCTAATGTTGTTACAAACACTGTAAATTATTATGTCTTTATTTTCTGTTGGTGATGTAATGGAGAAATACTGATACCTCGCAAACACGTTTGACATTGGCACTTGTAGGAAATGGAGGAGAATTTCAACACAATTAGTTTGAAAGCTGAGCTCTTGATTCCCAGTGTCTAATATTAAAGTCCTGAGTTTGCTTGTATACTTTTAATTGAGAAATTCTAGCTAACATTTGGTGCTGTAATTCTGGTAATGTGAAGAAAATGGCTGTTGTCAACTGTGGAAATAATATTTATTTAGTCCTGCATTCCTGAGTAAAACTTTGTGCTGTCTAGGAAAATATAATGTACTGAAGTCTAAATATTCAAAGTGTCAGACTAAAGTGAGTCATTTAATTTCCCTTTTACCCTTCAAACAGGTTTGACATTATGGTTGAAAACTCTCCCTCTCCTCTACCGGAGCGGGCCATTTATGGATTTGTCCTCTTCCTGGGCTCTCAGTTTGGTTTTTGTAAGTTTCATTAATGTGTCTCTGAAAGATCACTGGCAGGACTATCTGTACATCCGGTGCACATTCTTTCATCCATCTGTGCTTTTATCTGTTTTATATCAAGTCATCAAAAACCCTTAGGCATCAATGTTGAATATGGTCGACTTGCACTGTCAGTTTCATCTGAGGCTCTGATCTGATCCCATATCATACCAAGCCTTTCAGTTTCTAGTGCATGTAGGTGCTTCATGCAAATGGGTTCATGGATAGATTGACTTCTTATTGCTTATTACCATCTGCTGTGTCCATTGGCATCTTTCATTTGTTTATTGTTACAGGTCTGTACATGGTGTGGGCTTATATTCCAGAGTCTTGGCTGAATTTGGTTGGCCTCACCTACTGGCCTCAAAAGTGAGTAAATGAGAGTTAATTTGGACTGCTTCGATGAGTGGGGTTTGTGCCATGTGACTGTAAAATTAGGCTGAACGATAAGCATAAGGTTGTGGCATAGTTATGCCTGCTGTCTTTCACTTGCCAGTGTAACATCCTTCCTTCAGGTACTGGGCCCTTGCAGCTCCGATCTATCTACTGGTCGCCATCACTATCTGTTTCATCCTTCTGTTTGGTGTGAACATGATTAACACCGCCCCCCTGTGGTCGGTGGACACTATCACGGGTGAGACCCTCTGCTTGCACCTTCTCTGTCCTGCCTCTACAGTATAGTCAGTGAGTCTGTATTACTCCGGAGGGCCCATTTTATGTACAGCGGGGACGGTTTGTGGCTCAGCGGGTTAGGACAATGTACCTGTGCCCCGAAGATCGCTAGGTCAAAACCCCAGGTTGACAATGGTTCCATCATTGGGCCTTTGAGCAAAGCCCTTAACCCAAGTTGATCCAGGGACTGGCTGGCCCTGCTTTGTCAAATGTACGCCACTTTAGTTAAAAGCATCTGCTAAGAAAATATATAAAAATAATAAATGAGACACTCCTCACATTATCTGACCCAGACTGAATGTTTCTGGGAACGAATGGTAATAGAACATTTTAAATACCATTAACAACCACACCCACATTCAATTGTTGAGAAGATAATGAACCGGAACCTAGGCTTGTTAGCTACATTATTTGCACCCATTGAAAGTCATAAATTAATAAATATTAATGCTTTCAAAGATGGTCTGATGCTTCTTAGAAAGTAGGAACCTTTTTTTCCACAGTTGATGTGACTCCATAAACCCTGAGGTATATTGACCATATCCTGTTGCTAAGTGGTCGTCTGGTGATGAATTTGCTGATTCTGATCTCTCTGCAGACTGTTACGCCATGAGCCAGCAAGAGGACGACTGTGAGAAGCTTATACCAAGATTAAAAGATGTCTCCATCAGCGAAGTCAATCGGATATTCTATCTGTTACCTCACAAATGTCACTGATCTTTCAGATTAAAAAATTAAAACATGTTGTTTTTAGTCATTTCCAGTTTTTTTTGTCTTAAATTTAAATAAACTTAAAACAAATGAATTGTATAGCCCAATGAAAATACATATTTAATATAAAAAGCTGCTGTTTCTGGTGTGATCTTTTAACAAATCTTAAGTAAGAATCTTTTGAATGTTGTAATAACACCCAGTAATTGTATTAATTTCTTTTTTTTCTTTACAATTATTCAGTATGTGAATTGTTCACTAACCCAACCATCTTACCTTCACTTGTCTTGTACCGGTTTGCAGGTGACTTTTATTTATTATTTTTAAATAATGGCATGTAAAATGTGTATATGTAAGGACCTTGTCTGTCTTCCTCCTTCCTCTTCCTCACTGTCTTCCTCAGACATGTGATTCCCTTCTATGTAAAAAGTTTGTAGTGTTCATAGTAACAGAGCAGTGAGTCTTGTCACAAAAGTAGCCTGAAGTAGCGGTATGTGACCTTGGGGTCGGATTTGATGACAACGCGATTGCCAAGGCCCGCCGATCATGGGTAAACTCGCCATGGTAACCGGAATCACTCCACGCCGCGACGTTTGCTGAGGTTTTAGATCATGCTCTTCCATCATGGCTGTGTGACAGGACAAAGATCTGACTTGCAGATGAACCCCTACCCTGAGGTCATCATAAACTCAGCTGCTCCAGTTGGTACCTGTGCTCAGTCACTTTGATTTTTTTTTGTTGTTATTTCTTTTTTAAATTGTATTTTAATTTAAAATGAAGTTGTGCTTGTAATGGCAGATTGTTTGATGCAACCCAAAACAATTTCAATGAAGATTGACCCAAATCCTTCCCAACATGATTACATTATCTTCCCCTAGCTAAAAGCTAAAGACCGTTTTCAGTTGGGGGGGCGGGAGGGTCAGGGTAACATGTCACTACTTTTTTGCACCTGGCCCCCAGCGCCATCCAGACCATGGTGTCCTAATGGGTTCAGGGCAGTTTGTAACCTGTTGAACCCCCCCGACTATAAGTGAAATGGTCCCTCCCCTATCTCTCCATCAGCCGGATTTTCACCAGGGCTCTTCAATCAGTCTGCTGGCCTTACGTGCCCCCAGTTGCCCCTCCCTTGCCGTCTCAGCCACTCTTCCAGACCGACCCAGGGAGGAGGAGGGGGGTGGAGTGCGTGGTGCTGCTACTGCAGCCAGAATCTCAGATAAAGCATCAAAAACAAACAGAACCCAGATCAGATGGCTGTCCTGGTGTTTAACCTCCTGCATGCTGCTGTGTCCACCTCTGCTGCATGTAAACCAACCCTGCTCCGATGATGGAAAGGCCACCACCGACCCCGGCGAGGGGGGGGGGCTGGCCGCACGTCAGCTGAGCCCTAAACTTGCCCCCTGACTCACCTTCACCCAGCACTTTGATCACTGACCTCTGTCCTGATAGATTAGTGGCTAACTGGCATTCAGGCTATTTTTCCGACACTCCTCGTTTTAATATGTACATCATGATGTCATTATGCCCTATGATGATTCCTGCTGTGCGTGTTGTCATTCTTTCAATAGCAAAACTATTCCTCTTCCTAGTTTATTAATGCTGGGCAAAATATTAGCTGATGACTGTTAACTGGTTTATCATGGATATGACAAAATTAAAGATAATAGATCAGGGTCCGTGTGGGTCTTATAGAACAATGGTAACCTAAAGCCAACTGTTTCTGAAATATTTGTGTGGTGTGAATTTATGACAGATGAAGCAATGTGACCTCTGGATGCAGTTATCCATCAGTTAAACAAAGGTCAAAAGTGTGACTCAGTGAGACCGTGGTATCAAAGACTCATAGCATCAAGCTGAGGAAATGCCACGCGGGGGTGTGGTCCACTGCTGAGCTTATTTTCCCTCTTTGTGTGTTTTTTGCATAATTGGTTGCCAGTTCTGTTTTCTCCCAAATCCAGCTCCGTCTTACTTGAGCACCACTGTAAGGATTTTGGGCTAGGAGGGTCGTGACCCATAGGCCTAAAGTTCACAGGTCGACCAGCTGTCCCCTAACCCTGACCCTCATCTAGAAAGTCCCCAGATGGCCCTCCTATATGAATTTTAAAATCCTAACTCTGAAAATTGATATCTGTAGTCTGAAATGGATCCGTATTCACATAGTCATGCCATAGCATTACAATATATAACATATATTGCTTATTAAAACCATCAAAAAAGATTCAGTAGTTAAAATATTATCTGTTCATTCAATTTATTGCCCATTTTCAACCAACAGCCATTACAGCCAGAGCAGCATCTTTAAGTTCTCATAAGTAGTGGGAGTTTTTATGGATAAATTATTGTAAATTAAATTTGCATAGATTTTTTTTCAGCTCATGCCAACATTATGATGAACAATTATCCATGTTAGAACTATTTCTACCAGGAATTTATGGATTTGTGGAACTACAATAATATTGCCTTGGTTACTTTAAGACCTTAATACTGAATGGGGGCCCTTTGTTGTGCAGGGGGGGCAGCTTTCTGATGGTTTATAATCACAGCCGTAACACATTTTTTAACAGTATTATTCACCAAACCTGCATTTGTTTGATGTGTACATGGTTTCATTCCTAAAAATATTTATACTAAAACCATTGTAACCGATCTAAAGCATTATTGACACACTTTGCAGTGTTTCAAGTTCCATTGAAAATGATTCATGCATCCATTCAATAATCCTGTTAATGGCTATCTTGTCTAATAAATAAAGTTGTGAGTTTACCTGCAACCTTTCCTGGTAGTGTCTCATTAATATTGAAGTACGAGTTTCTTTATGAATTCAAGATAATAAAGGTCTGAAAACTAGAAAATACTCTTTATTAAAAACAAATGAGAAAATACCGCCAAGGTCCACAAACCAAAACCACCAACAAAACATGAGTATTTACATTTTATACATTTTCTCCACACAGCCCAGAAATTATGGATGTTTTACATTTCAGAGATGTTTTTTGTGTTGTGGTAAAACCTCCACATTCTGTTTTGAAAAGATGCAACCAGATAAGCAGACTGCTGCACAGCAACTGCGGTATTTCAATAAGACGCAGGGACACGAAGGCGCCGTTAGTGTTACACCGTCAGCAGAGAGCAGGATGGGGCAGAGGGATATGCAGCCATGGTCAGGTTAAAGGTCTGTTTACCCTCCTGCAGCACAAACGGTGAATCCTCTGCGTGGTCACAGGGTGGCGACGGCGTGTCCCTGCTCCGCTTCCTGTTTGCGTCTGTAGTGATTATCCTCCCTGGGTCCTTGACACGGCCAAGGCGCGTTTCCTGTCACCCCCGATGCTCCAGTGCCAGAGTTCACTCACGGCGCTGTTTCCAAAACACCGGAGGCCCTCCGCTCCGACAGATGCCGGGTGGGGGTGGGGGCCAAACCCGCTAAGGCTCCTCTGTCGCCTGTGCATCTTCCTCCTCCACCTCGTCTTCATCCTCGGAGCTGGATTCGTCATTGTAGAAGTGGAGAGTGGCCTGAACAGGGAAGCTTGCCAGAACCTTCCATCCTAAATGGGACAGGTACTCCTGCGCTTTCGACTTGGGCATACAGAGTCTACAAAGCATAACACCGTAATATTAATAGTACAACCAGCCACACACATTCATACAAAAACCAGGATTATGTGACGTGAATACAATTTGGTGACGTCTAAAGTAGCAGCTTCAGCGTTAATTAACTTTGACAGTAAAATAAACATACAAATAAATCTGACACATTGTTATTTATCTGTACATCTTTTTCTATATCTATCAAGGTAATTTTTAAATAACTTATTCAGGTGAGTGCTGGGATTATACATAGTTCTGCTATATGTTTTTTATTTGGTAAAAATCGTTTTCTTTAATTGTCTGCCTAGTTCTTAGGCTAATTAGAATGAACGACTTGAGTATAATACTACCAAAGATTCATTTTGGTGCTAATTTTCCAAGCCTCCCGGTCTTTTCATTCAGTGTGTCCTAGTCAACTTCTTCTTTCTCTGCCATCACAAACCTAAATTTCTGATAAAGTAAAAACATATTATCAAGAACGACAAACCTGACAGGGTGCTGGAAGCCTGAAGCGGATTTTGACGTCTGTCTGTTAGCCGATTCCAAGCTCCCAGAAACCCACTAGAAATTGATCAAAGACAAAATACATTTAGCATAAGAAAAAAAACTGCGTTTCAGTAAAATCCAAAGTTCCCGACTAAATTTCAGTTCAAATGTATATTTTCTCAAACGAGTCAAGACATTTACAGACTCGTAAACCACCTGTACGTACTTAAAAAAATACGCTGCCTTTTCAATTAATGTTTAACCATTTGTTATGAATTACTGTATAGTCCCAGTTCACCTTTTGGCGCATTTCATTGTCTCTACTTGTCAGTACCCAAGGTCTCCAGATCACGGGGTAACTGTCAGAGAAAAGATAATATAACACTTTACTTGAGGGAGGCAAGAGTAACTTGGTAACTACTCAAGAACAAATTAACAAATATAGTATATGAAATGTGATTGAACAAACATGGAATCAGTGCGTAACAAAGTTTCCGTTAACTAACAGATAAGACAAGTTAGACTGTGCGATTACATTATTTGTGTCCCATCAAATAAAATGTTTATCAAAATATCTGGTAACATTTCATGTGGGAAATACAAAACATGTATAGTGTTTCACTTTGTCTAGAATGAAGTGCCAAACTTACCTTTTGGTTTGCCCGATGGGAATGGGAGGCCCGGGCGTGCCGCTGCTGCCGCGGTAGGAGCGCATCACATGCGTCTTGGCTTGCTGAGCAGCGGACTGGCCGTCCATGCTGTGCGGGAGCATCACGTTTCTCTCAGGAGACTCCTCAAACTGAGCGGTGCCACAAAGGCAAGTGCAGTTATCAAGGCTTTCACATCAGATCCGTCCACTTGGGTAAACAAGAGGACTAGCTGAATGGGAAGGGGCGGGCGGGGGGATTTTGCGAGATTTATCTTCTGCAGTCAAGTACCTGTCTGCATGACTTCGGTCCAAATAATTACTAGGTTGAGTTAGGTTATAGGTTAATTAATGGAGGTTAATGCACAGGCATGTACATGTAATTTCATAGAATTTAGCAAGATAGTTCATCTAAAACATTTATAGAGACAAATCTGCAGAGATACTGTATTGCGAAAAAGTTAATGCGCTGCTAACGTTCAATTAAGAATATTTATATAAAATAAGAAAACTTTAATTAAATTTTTTTTTGTCGCCCTCTGGCGGAGAACCCAGAGCGCGCACGCATGACCTCCGTGCGGGTCGCCGTGCGAATGACGACACTAGTGGGAGGGGCGAAGGGGAAGGAACGGCGGAAAATGTCTCCCTGAAGCCGTCCCGGGGCTCCCCGACCACCTTTGGTCTCGATGTGACAACGATGCTGATAACGCTGTGTTATGTCTACCTCTGGGTGCGCTTCCAGAAGTGCTACACGGTGGTCATCCGCAGCGCCGTGCGCCGCCTATACGGGAGCCGCGCAGGCTTCGCCTTCTGCACTGTGAGACCAGCGACTCTTCCGGGGGGGCGCTCACCTGGCGAGCGAAGTTTTACTAAGCAATTGAGCCGCGCGGCGCCCGAAGAACGCCTTCTGCTCAAAGTGGGCGACAAAGTGGTGTATATAACCGAGCCGCAGGTGAATAGTGGGCCGCTACGCGCTGTTTCCTCCGCGTTACTCTACCGGAGCCCCCCTAGTTCATGTACCTTTCGCCCAGGCCCGGTCTGTATGTAAATAAACCAGTTACAGCTTTTCTGACCTCGGCGTTTGTTCTTAGGATTTTATATCTGCCACAATATAAAGTCATTTACACCTCATGCCAGCTGGTTTATATAGCTTCTTTGTAAAAGAACAGTATTGATGAACATCGTACTCATCTGTATTTATGCAGCTTTTTGTAAATGCTTTGCAGCCTTTATACTGTGCCGTGAGCTAATAATGGAAAAGCCCAAAGGCACTTGTGAATGATACACGTGCCTTTTTATCCTCCCAGGCGTGTGACGACTTCAGCACGTGGAGTCTCATGTTAGGGCCCTCTCTGTCGCAGGGTCCAAAGACAGACAGCATTGCTTTTGTCATAGAGGCCGCCGCAGAACAAGGAGCGGGATTAAAGGCGCTTTCCGCAAAGGGAAATGTATGTATCGTCCTTATGTTTTCTTTAAGCGTCCCATTTGTCCCATTCTGGTACACGTGTACACCATAATACCTGCGGAAATTCAGATCAGGGCCTGGACACTGTTTTGTAATTACTCCACATGACAGGTGCTGCTCTAGTGTCTCAGAAAAGCCGATAGTCTTCCGCTTACGTAGTAAAAGGGAAGTTTGCCTGATCTGCCTTTGATCTCGCCAGGTGTGGCGGTTTCTGCCTTTTACCAGGCGGTGTCCCTATTGTAACACTGGCCTTTCTGTCCAGTCTAGCTAAGATAAGGGGAGCAGAGAGCCTCCCTCCCAGGAGTTGGCTGGGTGGGGGGCAGGGCAGGGTTCCACCACCTTGGTTTTGGAGTGCCCCCCCCCTTTTTTGCAGTGCAGTGTACTTGTGATTGTATGGATGGGTAAATTGTGCTCCTCTTCATAGGGGGGCTTTTAAGAAGAGAAAGATCATGGCTGCTTCCAGGCAGTCACGCTTGAGAAGGAAGGTGGCCTGTAGAACAGACACCGGGGCTAGTCGTTCCGGATGCTTCTGAAAGGCGTTAGTGGACCTCTGTAACCTGACAGAGCAAGCAGGGGCCCGGTGGAGGAAGTGGGGGTGGGTGGAGTGTCTCATCTCTCGCTCTCCCAGCCTCTAACCTGCACCCCTGTGAAGACTCACTGTAAAAACAAACTGTCACCACCACTGCTTCTGGATGCTTCCATCCAACCTGAATCCTCTCTAGCCTTACCAGATTGACCAGATTATCTCTCTGTATATGTGGATTAATTTCAGATTTTTTCACTTTGGAGGAAATGAAATTCAACCCAGAAAATCCATTACCTGTTTTATGGCTGGTGGTGTCCTGTAAAGCACTCATCCTGCACAGATTCATAGGCATATGCAATATATAACTTTAATTGCTCTATGAGGGCTGTTCCTCTCTCAGTGGACACAGCCATTAATCACTGGGACTGTGCGTGTGTGTCTGCCCAGGTGCTGAAGTGGTCAGATTACTGCCTTCCCTTGGCCTGCAGCCCCGGGCGGCCATTCAGGGTGGTGGCGGAAGCCAGCGTGGACAATTTCAGTCGCCTAGGAGTGGCGTTTATGGAAGATCGGTTGTGGCTGGACAATGGACTCGTGCCGGAGAAAATAGTCTGTGAGTATGTGAGCATGACTGACAGGTGCCATTGCCTGTGTTTGTTTATTTATTTATTTATTTATATATATATATATATATATATATATATATATATATATATATATATATATATATAAAAATAAAATATAATATAATATAAAATAAATTTTTTAAATGTTTAATTTTTCCCCAGCTGTCCTGCTCAGGGAATCCACACTCAAAGCATTTGCTGGACGCTCTGTACTGATCAGAGGAGCCCAGGCTGAGACCAGGTCACTGGAATTGCAGGAACCGCCAGAGGACAGATCACTGTTTCAGTCCCCGTGCCGCGCGTCCGAGGAAGGTACGGGGGCGGCGATTGGCAGCGCGTCCGGGCAGGACCGCGGGTGCCCCCCTGCGGATGCCGCCGCCGCGGACGCTGGCCTGGACGGCCGCCGCAGGATGGGGGCCGGGGAGCAGCATGCGGAAGGCTGCCACCTCCACCTGTCCAGCTGCCACGAGTGCCTGGAGTTGGAGAGCAGCACCATCCTCTCGGTGAAGTTTGCATCGATGGAGAACATTCCGGACCTCCCTGACGACTACGAGGGCGGCCGGGGGGAGTCTGGTGGGAGGAGCGTTCCCGGCCAGGGCAGGAGGTTCAACCAGAAGCCTCCCAATGTGCTGGTGTACACAGGGGGCTGCCAGGAGAGGTTCAAGCATGTGCACGCTCTCCTGGCCGAGTGCATCAACACCGACAGCTACGTGCTATACCCCCTGCGACCACAGCAGGTCCTCAGCGAGCCATGGCTGGACAGTACCCTCCTGCTGGTGCTGGCCGAGGAGGAGCCCCTCACGGCCCAACACCATGAACGTTTCCTGGCCTACCTGGAGCGGGGTGGGAAGCTCCTGGGGCTGTGCTCCTCCTTCTGCGCGGCTGGCCTGTCGCTCGCCCCTGGGCCCGACCGGAGAAACGGCGTGTGCCAACTGGTCTTCACCAGGGCCGACTGCACCGAGGTGGAGCTGAGTGCCCTGGCCAGCGGCCACGTGTTCGTGCGTGGAGACAGCCCCGCGGAGATGTGGGGGGAGCTGCGGGGGGGCAGTGGAGGCATGGCGGTCGTCAGGATGACGCACGGCGACAATGGTGGCGAGGCCGTGCTGTGCCAGGTACCGTCTCCCATGCCTAAGCTATGCCTATCCTGGCTTGCAATATAACCTGAATTAAAGCTTCATATAAAAAATAAACTGAAGACAGGAAAAGTCCCGAAAGAGAATTTTGCCTTGGACTAGGCAGTATCACTGATATTTACGACCAAAAAGCTCTTTTAGATTTGGTCACATGACCTACCACCCAGAGTGATGTCATGTCTGTGCGCCCTCCTCGCTTCTCTCTCCCGCAGGTGCACCTGGAGGCGGCGCCGGACTCCCACGATGTCACGAGCCCACAGGACTTTGACGAGCTGAAGGCAAGCAACGCACTTCGCTACGAGGTGCTGTCTGAGATCCTGAGCTGCCTGGGGCTGAGCTGCGAGCGGAGCCATGTGCCGCCACCCAGCCCCATCTACGTCCTCTCCTCGTCTGAGGTAGGACCCACTGCCCTCACACCTGCCTTTAAATAGCTGTCCTTTGCTACTGCCTGACTGTTAATGTTACGGCTGTCGTCATTGTCACTTTTAAACAGAGGTGACAGTAAAGATTACATTTCAGTAAAACTTTAAAATGCCTTACGTTATGCAGATTATTAGACTATATACTTGGAACTGATCACAGACAAATTGATGAGCAAGAATTAATTAAAATGATTAATTAAATACTGATCGATTTGTGTGTTTAACACATGCATGATAACATGTGGGACATATTAATGGAACAGAATTTAAAACCAGAGTCTTTAAAACGAGATATAATGGTTCTGATAGGTAAATCTTTGATATCTCTATGTTTTGAATAACTAGTAAAGATTCTGTACATTTACTGACTAAATGTTATGTAATTCATAAATTAATTTAATAACTTTGATTAATTTAATTGTAAGTTATTATAAAATGTTATAAAACACTTGACGTTAAAAAGTACTATAAATAGCAGGGAAATTTTTTTTCAGAAGCATCAAACTGACACTTTCACTGCCAGGCTCTGCGTAGAGATTTTCATTTTTTAATTTCTGTTTCAGCATGTTCAGTGTGGGGCTTTAATTGAAATGTAATCATAACTACAGTTAATCTATGTTGAAACCATCTGACAGTCTAGGTTTATATGTTTAACATCAAGGCTTTGACTTGTACTGCAGTCACTTCTGTGTTTTTTGACTTTGTAACTAATTATTAGCTTGTAGCAGTAAAAAGTGATTTGTAGTAAAGCAGGATTTTTTTTAAATGTGACTTGCAGTAGCTTTGTATTGTTTTCTTCTCATCCAGATATTTAAATTGGTGTCTAATTTCTATTTAAAACTCTTTGTAATGTCCCTAATAGTGGCAGGTTGGTACAATGTTCCTGTGACTGGAAGGTCGCTGGTTCAAATGCCAGACTCTGCAGTTATTTCGGCTTAAGGCCGCTTAACAAGGCCCTTAACCCCAATTGCTCCTGGAACACTGACCCTGCTTTCTCAAAAAAACTGTATGTCACTTTGGATAAAAGCGTCTACTAAATTAATGTAACTGTAAACATCTATGACTAACAAGTAATATATGCAACGTTAAAATTGCAGCAGATTCAGGGAGCCCGAGTGCCTGAATCTGTCCAGATGAGAAGCTGCATTTAGTCTCTGCTTTTTTTCTGTCCCGTTGAATATGGAGCCGACTGGTTCCAGACAGACTTTAGTCCGATTCGTGGCTGAATGTTTTGGGCCGAAGGATCCAGACGGGCTGAGGCGCTGAGCAGTGAGGCGCAGCACCTCAGTCTGGACTCACGGTTTTATTTAAACAGTTTTCGCGATTAGTGCTGCCTGCATTCTTCCGGCGATTTCCACGGTGATCAAAGGGCATCCCCTACCCTCCACCGCTTGCCTTTTTCGCCGAGTGGCGCCCACACGTGTTCCGACGGGCCCCTCCGGACATATAAACCCTGTGAGCCATTGCGTTGTTTTGCGCATAAATTTGCATACATTAAGGCACCGAATGTTTTCCACATGTGCGGGCGGGCCGGGGCCTGGTTCCTCACACGGCTGCCATGATAAACATTTACACGGACAATTACAGCCCACTTTGTGAAGGAAAGCAGGCGAGAGAGGAGCTGGTACCGGTTTGCTTGTCGGGAATGAGGGTGCGTGATACTTAGAGGCCTGATGTCACTGGCACCCAAGCCAGGGATATTTGGGGAATCTGGCCTCCGTGTTAATCGGCATTTGAAATGGGACCACATGCAGACCTGTCAGCCCCCGTTTTCAGCCTGGAGGGCCAGGCACTCAGACAACTGTCCACTCCCCCCTTCAGGATGGCTGGGAGTGTGTACATCTGGCGATGGTCGGTGTGCAGATCATGCCTCAGGGTTATCTTAAACCATGATGTCTTCCTGGGAGCAAGCTTACTGCTAGAGAAGTCTGTACCGCTAACAGATCAGTCTAAACTGCTGTAGTTAAAAAAATATATATAAAAACATGGAAAGAGTTTTATATAAGTCTAGTGTTGAGCCAGATTTTTTAGCTTGTTTTTCTTTTCTAAATTTGCCTCTGTGTAAATGCTTTCTGTAATAAGTCTGACATTTCCTGAAGCATGACTTTACGTAAAATACGAACAGGTAGTTCGAAGTCCTGCAGTAAGTGTGAGAAACCACCAGGGGGCGGTCAGCACCCGCCGTTTGTTACATTATAAACCGTTTCGTTAAGAATACCGAAAATAACCAACCGGAAAGTACTCTGAAGGATGAGTCACTTATTATCAATGTCAGGCGGTTTAAATATTCCTGCGATTTTTTTTTCCTGTTGAACTTAAACATTAATTTGCACATTTCCCCCCTGGTAAATGACATGTATAGGTGCAAAGCCGGCTTCTCCAGCCACGTTGCATTTCCTTGCACGGACGGCGTGTCTCCCGTTTTAAGTAACCCGCCCCTGTGCTCCCGATGCAGAAGATGGTGTCTCCCCAAACCAAACTGTAGCATTATTATTATTAATTATTATTATTATTATTATTCGGTCTGCTCTGAGCCGCGGCTGCTACCTGACCTCTGGCCCGAGCACTTTGTTATAACAAACACGGCGGTGATGAGAGCGCCTGCCTTGGGGATTGCTTCCAGATTGTCCGGCCGGGAGCTGGGTCCACCTTACTGCAGCGGGCCAGCCTGGGTGTGTCCGACCAGTCGTCCGATAACGTGGCACGGCTCTTTTAACTCCTTCACACGATCAAGCCTGTCTGGTCATTTTGACTATCATCCTTAGTCTCTTTGTTTTAAAATGATTTTTGTGCTTTTGGCTCCAGAAGTGCGTGCAGTATTGAATACTATGAGCAAAATATTTTTTCCTTGTGATTTTATTTTTAGGTCACAAAATAGCATAGACTGAGGCGTTGGCTTTGTTTGCATTACGTTGTATCTGGCAGGTGGCTCCTGTTCCCTGAGCCGGGGGACGAGGCCGCGGCTCTCCGGCGATCCGCACGAGCGAAGGGGGATTTGTCAGGCGGTAGAAACGGTCCCTGGGGGGCGATGCGAGCCGCCTCCCCTGTTACACGTCCTTTTGTGATTTGCACAAAGCCGATAATTGGAGCATGCAGATAAGCGGCTCTAATTGATTAACCATCACTGTAGCCCTTAAATATGGATCGCAGCTAATTAGGGCCATCACGCCGGGCTTTTCACAACCTGCCAGTGCTAATCACGCCGCTCGGCCGCCAGATGGGTCCCGCAAAGGGTTTTGTGTATCCGCGAACCCCCCCCCGCTTCATGCTTCGTTTGTGATGAGATGTAAACCGGGGTATCTGCGG